ATATCAGTTAGTTACCCTCAACATTAACGATGTTTTTGGCCATAATCTCAATAATATTTTACAAGGTTCAGTCAGCATAGGTGAGTAATAATATTGAAAAGTGTTTTAAATATTATAATGAATGATATTTGTGAAACAACCTAAAAAAATAGCAGAATGTTATATGTTTATATCTGATGATATTTCTTCTATGTTTATATTTAATGACGATATTTTCTCTATGTTCATATTTAATAACGATATTTATCCTGTGTTTATATTTAATAACGATATTCATCATGTGTTTATATTCAATGACGATATTAGATCTATATTTACTGTTGTGGATCTTATAGGTTAATCACAATGAGATTCACACGATTTCATTGTGATTAAAATTGTTATTTTATAGACTGGAGGTGGGGTCTGCCAGTACTATACTGGCCAATGATATACTCCCTCTCTTACGGACTGGAGGTGGGGATTGCCAATACTCTATTGACCAATGATATACTCCCTATCTTATAGACTATAGGTGGGGTCTACTGGTACTGTACTGACTAATGACATACTCACTATCTTACAGACTGGAGGTGGTGTGTATTAGTATTGTACTGACTAATGACATACTCACTATCTTACAGACTGGAGGTGGTGTGTATTAGTATTGTACTGACTAATGACATACTCACTATCTTACAGACTGGAGGTGGTGTGTATTAGTATTGTACTGACTAATTATATTCTCACTATCTTACAGACTGGAGGTGGTGTGTATTAGTATTGTACTGACTAATTATATTCTCACTATCTTACAGACTAGAGGTTGGGTCTGCCTGTACTGTACTGACTAATGACATACTCACTATCTTACAGACTGGAGGTGGTGTGTATTAGTATTGTAGTGACTAATTATATTCTCACTATCTTACAGACTAGAGGTTGGGTCTGCCGGTACTATACTGACCAACGATATTCTCAATCTTATGTCAATCACCCAGTTGACCATTCAACCTGGTTCTCTTCGTGACGTCACTCAGAAGAACTTAGCGGACCTGACGTTGTCTCTTGTAGAGTCTCTAGCTGGGTCTACTTCAACAACTTGTAAGCATCTACCTAGCTGTCTGTCTGTTATCTAATTCAGAGCAACAGTAAATAACAATTACAGTAGTGACCAGCCATTACAGATATATTGAATCATTGCTGAGGTTTTAACAATTCACTTTAGGATTATTTAGTTGTCTCTAGCAACCTTTGTTTAAGATTATATTAATAAGTCTTTTCAATTATGTCCATTTATTGAGTGTCTTATTTCCATGGTTAGATTGTTTTCTTATGATCGTTTCCACTAGATTTTGTAAACTGTATATTAATATATTTTGTATAATTCTCTTCACTGCCTTCTTTTATATAAGTAACTGTAACAGTTTTCCTGTATTGTCCAGTTATCAACTAGTAAAGAGAAACCATATTGACCTAACAGACCAGATTGCTTTATCTTTCAATAAACATTTTGTGTTTTATGTCTTGAGAAGCACTACATTCGAAAATCAGGTTTCGGATCCAAACAAATCGGTAGTTTGTAAATCTTCCATATTCTCTAGCTGTCCACTTAATTGTACGATTGCATGGCTGGTTGAAACTTTCTTTATCTAGTTTTTAGAAATACTATTTTACTATAAGAACTGTTCTATACCAAGAGAGTTATGTAAATAAATATATACATAGAAGTAATAACTTACAATTAGCCAACCACATTATATCAATAATATCCAGAGCCTTTAACTCAACACCAGAAATCATCAAATATCTTAAAGATAGAAGTGGGAGATTACCTTTATCATATATCTTAAAGGTGGAAGTGGGAGATTACCTTTATTACATATCTTAAAGATAGAAGTGAGAGATTACATTTATCAAATATCTTAAAGATGAAAGT